AAACCCCTCGGGGACCCCCCAAACCCCAACCCCAGGGCCCTCTGAACCTCCTGGGGATCCCCCTCAGGTCAGGGACCCCCAAAACCTGCACCCCCGGGACCCCCAAACTGATCCCGGGACCCCAAAATCCGTTGGGACCCCCGAAATGCCCCCCCCCGGGGACAGAAGCGCAGACCCCGCAGGAACCCCGGCGAGCTCGGGGGGTCCAGGTGTCCGGGGGGCATCCAGGTGTTTGGGGGGGGTATCCCTGTATTTTGGGGGTCTCCAGGTGTTTTAGGGGATGTCCCCCTATTTCGGGGGTCTCCAGGTATTTTGGGGGTATCCAGGTGTGTTGGGGGTATCCAGGTGTTTGGGGGGGCGTATCCCTATATTTTGTGGGTCTCCAGGTGGTTTTGGGTGTTTCCAGGTATTTCGGGGGGTGTGTCCCCCTATTTTGGGGGTCTCCAGATATTTTGGGGGTGTCCCCGTATTTTGGGGCAATCCAGGTGGTTTTGGTGGTCTCCAGGTATTTCGGGGGGGGTGTCCCCGCATTTTGGGGGTCTCCAGGTGTGTTGGGGGTGTGTCCCCATATTTTGAGGCTCTCCAGGTATTTTTGGGGGTCTCCAGGTGTCTTGGGGGTGTGTCCCCATATTTTGGGGGTCTCCACGTGTTTTTGGGGGTCTCCAGGTATTTTGGGAGGGGTATCCCCATATTTCGGGGGTCTCCAGGTGTGTTGGGAGTCTCCAGGTGTTTTTGGGTGTACCCAGGTATTTCGGGGGGCGTGTCCCCGTATTTCGGGGGTGCCCAGGTGTTTTTGGGTGTACCCAGGTGTTTTTGGGAGGGGTATCCCCGTATTTCGGGGGTGCCCAGGTGTGTTGGGAGGGGTATCCCCATATTTTGGGGGTCTCCAGGTGTTTTTGGGTGTACCCAGGTATTTCGGGGGTGCCCAGGTGTTTTGGGTGTACCCAGGTATTTCGGGGGGGGTATCCCCAGGTATTTCGGGGGTGCCCAGGTGTTTTTGGGTGTACCCAGGTATTTCAGGGGTGTGTCCCCGTATTTTGGGTGTCCCCAGGTATTTTGGGGGTGCCCAGGTGGTTTTGGGTGTACCCAGGTGTTTTTGGGTGTCCCCAGGTGTTTCGGGGGTGTGTCCCCGTATTTTGGGGGTGCCCAGGTATTTTTGGGTGTACCCAGGTATTTCGGGGGGGGTATCCCCATATTTTGGGTGTCCCCAGGTATTTCGGGGGTGCCCAGGTGTTTTGGGGGTGCCCAGGTGTTTTGGGGTCCCTCACCCCCCCTCTCCCCCCCCAGGTATTACTACAACAAGCGGATCCTGCACAAGACGAAGGGCAAACGCTTCACCTACAAGTTCAACTTCAACAAACTGGTGCTGGTCAACTACCCCTGCCTGCACCTGGGGCTCGCAGGTGAGGGCGGGGCCGGGGGCGGGGCCAGGGGAGGGGCTGGGGGGGGGCCAGGTGGGCTTGGGGTGTGCCCGGGGGGGACGGGGACATGTCCAGGTGGGCTCGGGGTGTGTCCAGGTGGGACTGGGACGTGTCCAGGTGTGCTCGGGGTGTGTCCAGGTGTGTCCAGGTGGGCTCGGGGTGTGCCCGGGGGGGACAGGGACGTGTCCAGGTGGGCTCGGGGTGTGTCCAGGTGGGCTCGGGGTGTGTCCAGGTGGGCTCGGGGTGTGCCCGGGGGGGACGGGGACGTGTCCAGGTGGGCTCGGGGTGTCCCCAGGTGAGCTCAGGTGGGACTAGGGCGTGTCCAGGTGTGCTCAGGGT